CAGGCAACTTAACGATATAGTTCGTGTCCGACAGTTTTTGCGGTACTCTCCAAGGACCTTCCCACTGAACTTCTAGTTAGTTTGCCCTTGAAGTTCGCAACATCAACACTTTCTGTCCCACACGGAAACTGCGAACCATGGCCAGCTTTCTGAGACACGCTGTTTTAGTTCCCGATTCTCACTAGACGTGGCGTATCAACCTTCAGTAAGATAGAGTGCCTTCATACACACGCGCGTTTTTGCTTGAGTGGTGACATCCCAGCCATTTTTCTCGCCCAATGGTTTGTTTATGCCTTTTGAAACGCGCACAATCTGGTGTCACTCAGCTCGAGCCCGTAGCTTTGGCTAATGCATAGACGCCATTTTACTGCCCAAGTCATGCACCCAGTGCGCGAGAGCGTCGCGCGCTGGTACATTTAGGACAACAATGGATGTCTTCACCCTCAGACAGACAGACACGTAGGCACCCTAGAGTAAGATAAACGGACAATTCGAAGCGCGCAACCGCTATCTGAACCTCCTCTTCTCTGCATCTCTCTGGCCTCCCACCCTTTTCACCGTTTGCGCCTGGCCAAATACTTTACTAGGGGGAATACATTCCACTCCGCTCATTTGCATTAGACAGAACGCCTACAGCGCCGAACCCAGCCCTGACGGAGGGGAGGTCCGCGCCGAGTCTTCTTTTTTTGGCAAATAGGCTATCATCACTCTCAGTCGCAAACATTTCACGACTACGCTATAAATACGCGCTACGCTACGCCGGCGGTTGGATGCGCCAGTGCAAGCCAGTGTCTCGGGGTGTGAAACAACGTCAAATGTGTTGCGTTGTGTTTTCTTTTGATACTTTTTCGAAACGATGCGCACAATATACCGCGAGTTTCAGCAAACATTATTTTAGTTTAGATTTCTAAATTTGGCTTTTAGAAAAAAAAAAAAAAAAAAAAAAATCTCCTGAATTATGTGTATTTTGCCGTTTTGCGTTCAAGAGACAACAGAGAGTTTTAGAACAGGGGTCCCATCTTTTAGGTTCATTACGAAATTGGGGGATCCAAATGCAACAAGGTTTGCGGGCTCATTTTCGTCTTCTGCGCATGAGAAAGGAAGTAGCGGTGACGTCGAAACGCCGAGCCCTGATTGGCTGATCGCGACCCCCTATCTGAGCGTCGTCTGCTCCTTTGCAACGTCGTCTGCTCGCAACATCGTCTGCGTCTGTCTTACCTTTCCTGCGACTTTCGGAGCGAACTCGACTTCGCCTTTAAGAGAGGGCAGACGAAATAACTCGAGCGGTACGTTGTTTTTGTCTAACAACTGGCAGACGCGCATTAAGGAGGGAAGTTAAAGGACTCACTGGCGAGGTGTCCCGAGGTGCCGAGGTTTGTTTGTTTAGAACCGAGAGTGAGCGTGTTAGTGTCCGCAAGTTCCCTCCCAAATACTTTTCCCCTCCATTCGTGTGCTGCGAGACCCCTCACTCTTTAACGGCGTCGGAGGGTTGGCGCAGTTAACGTCGTCTGCTTTACGTCTGCTAGTCAAAGCGATGGCTGCTTTACCTTTCCTGCGTCTGTCGGAGATTCACCGCTTTTTCACCGGCGAGAGTCACCGTTGCCTCCGGAAGCAAGGAGATAACAAGAGGAAGAAATTGACCTCTTAATCTAAAATTGAGGTCAGCGATCAAAGTATAATACGGGAAGGGTTCACAAGGGTCGCGCGGGCATATCCCATTCAGCACGCCAGCCGGTCGTGGGCAGACGGTCGCCGAGTCGCGGAGTGCCTGCTAGGCCTAACTGCCCAGCTCGTTTGGTCGCGTTCGGTGGAATCGTGGCCGTTGGAGCTTTTCGCAGGTGTTTGTGGATCCAGCGTTCTTGTTCGTCGTGGTCTGTTTCAAGTACTTCTTAATTTTTTCTTGCTGCTTGAAGTCGGGACGCGTCAGAAGCGCAGGTAGAAAAATAAACGTCCGTGGGTTGTTGCGACCGCAACGCTGTCGGCCATGCTGATTTGATCGTAAGAAGTGCGTAAGACAGCTTCGGAGCTGCCGTAGGATTTCGTCGGAACCTGCGCAAAACTTACGAAAATTTCGTTTCGTGTATACGGATTTGTTCTTAAAGGGGCGATGCAACGATTTTTTGATTTTGCGCAAATACCGCTTAGACCAGATCCCTGACGTTAATGACCTGTGAAATACCTGTTCGTTTTTCACCACACGCAATCGCAGTCGCAGAAAAAATTAAAGAAAAACGAGCAGAGTTCACCCCCTCAAGGAAGTGCGATCGAAGCAACCTGTTCTTTCTACCATTCGGCAAGCTTTTCAGCATTTATACCCATTAGTGACAGTTAATCGGTATACCACTACCGGCCGCTGTGGCGATGACATCTATCATCAGCCCCGCTGGCACCGTACCGCACGAACATGCCTCCTCAACAATTCTACGCACCTCCCAACCTGTGGTAATACTAACCGCAGTATCCCACGACTCGGGTTCAAGCCTTGCCCAAACAAGTGACATACCTCCGAGAAAACGGCGCGCTGATGAATATCAAGAGCCACCTGCTCAAACTATAAAACATCAGCAGTCCATCACCGATGAGGAGGCACCTTCCACTGAGGTGATTTACAAGAAGACTCGCAAGGCTGGCATTCCGGTGTTGTTCAAACTCAATGATCCATCCCAGTCGTTCTGGAAGGTCAACCCTAATAGGAATTGGCGCAAGAAATCGTCGCAACATCCCAAGAGAAAGTCCTGTCTCAACGCATTGACAAAAATGGAGGACTAACTGTCACTGTGGCGTCCGCCGAAGCAGCGAATAATTTGCTAAAACTAAACGTCCTCGGGGGAATCAAGGTGGATGTCGTTGTACCACAGTCGTACTCGAAAAATCTGGGGAAAATCTGGGGTGTGCCACTTGACTACAGTGATGATCAACTCGGTGAATACCTGCGAGACGACGGAGTCATTTCTGCACAACGACAAATGAAGTTCACTCGACGGGAAGGTGGTCCCGTAACAAAACATCTACTGACAACAGTAATCCTTAAATTTCGTGAAGACCTACAACTACCTGCACGAATCAAACTAGGATTCGACAGTTTCCCCGTGCAAGAACACTGCGAGGCACCAACTCAATGTTACAACTGCCAACGATATGGCCACCTGGCTCGCGACTGCCGCAGCTCCCGTCGCTGCAAGATCTGCGCAGGTCCTCATCACCACAAAGAATGCTCGACACCACGTGAACCGCAATGCGCAAACTGCGGCTCGCGCCATGTATAAACCTATGCAGGCTGTATACGAAAACAGGCGGCGCGTGCTGCTAAGAAAAATGAGCTTTTTTTATGGCAAACCTACTTCACGGAAAGCTCCAGCTCCTAATCCGGATGTTATCAAGGCAAGTGACAAAATGACCACGCAAAATAAAGCATCACGGCCTACCTTTTCCGACGTTCTGCAAGGAATTCCAAGCGACAGCAACACACCACTAACAGATCACAAGACAAGACAAGGAAGTTCCCACGTCATACCACCAAACCCAAAAGCAACTGCAGATACCGAAGAGGAAGTACCTTCCCATGTGGATAATCGACGCCGTACTAGTTCTAGAACCGCGCATCACATTGAGTCTGCCCATCCAGATCAAGAAAGCAGTGCAAAAGGCATCCTTCAAATGTTCCTACCTCTCATGATGGAAGTCATAAAGGAAATTATCAAAGAATACCCGAAAATCGGTGCAAATCATCCATCAAAGCTCTGTGGCCATGGAACCACTTCTCAACGGCATTCTATGACTCATCTAACTGAGGTATACGCCACTTCCTTTTTATTACAATGGAATGCACGTCACCTAATGCCAAAACGCAGCGATTTCAAGGGTTTTGTCAGTCGCTACAAATTCTTGGTTTTAGCTATCTGTGAAGGCCACGTATCCGAACAATTTCGCCTGCCTGATTACGTGCTATATCCCTCAAACGCTCAGCTCCGTTCCTCAAGAGTAATGTTAGGTATAAGATCCGATCTTTCATCAGTAGAAGTTGTGAGCGACATTGATAGTTCTGGAGGATTTGTTGCTTGTAAGGTACGCATTTGTGGCCTTGTACTTAATATTGCTTGCGTATATATACCACCAGGAAGCACAACAGACTTACAACGCCTAGTAGGTCTCATTGCTTCTTTGGATGCACCTTACATACTGTGTGGAGACTTCAATGCACATAGTCCAACCTGGGGCAGCTCACATACATCAAAGAGAGGATCAATGTTAGACTCAATACTCATTTCAAACAACCTTTGCGTTCTAAACGACGGATCTCCGACATTCCTTAAAGGAGACGGATACACTAGTTGCTTGGACTTGACCATTTGCTCTGCAGGCTTGGTAGCTCAGGCCAATTGGTATACCGACTGCGACACCAGGGGAAGCGATCATCTACCTATCTATACAAGTCACAGAAAATTACATCCATTTGTGAAACATAGACATACAGTTTTAACTGACTGGTCCAAGTTTCGTGCACTGAACGCTGACTCAATGACAAATTTGAAGACACTAGATGACTTCGTTTCTGGGATAAGAATTAACCTTGAGAAATTATCACAAACGTTAAAAGTCCCTCAAGGACATCTAGGGGTAGATCCTGAGTACCGGAAATTGCGTGCTCAGCGCCGACAGGCGGAACGAAAAGCTCGAAGGAGCGGAATACTTGAAGATCAAATGAAAGCCAGACGAATTCAGACGAAAACAAAACACGAGCTCGAATATTTGGGAAAACGCCGATGGAAGAGTCTTTGGGATTCAATATTACCGAACACCCCGAAAATACAAGCATGGCGCATAGTTCGCTCATTAAAATCGCCGGTGTCACAACGCCAACCATTGCGCGCGCTGGCAGTTCATCGAGGTGTTAGCGATATGAATATAGCCGAAGAATTTTGCAGAGCAGTGACGCAACACGTTTCTACAGCCATAGCAAACACGGATCAGAAAACCCCATCCCCGCGGCAATCAGCAGCTTACAACCATATCATGAATCTGCCATTTAACAAAAGTGAAAAATGGGCATTGAGAAAGCTCAGGCGAAAAAGTGCCCCAGGACCTGATGGTATCACTCCGGCTGCACTAACGTGTCGTGCCGGGCTGTGGCCGGCGGTCAGACTGCACGGCCCACCAGCGACGGCAAGCAAGCAACTGAGCGTACAGACAGTCGAAAGCCGGGAACCAAAAAGCATGTTTATCTCATGAGGCCATGGCTTTTTACAGAAGACGCGGGCACAATGTTCGCAACCCAATTACCGAAAGTGTCCGAACTTGACACTAGCGCCGCCCACAACATCTCCCCCCTTACGAATGTTCGAGAATGCACCGGACACTTTGGCTGTGAAAAAAAACATAGTCTTACAGATCGAGTCTCTTGGGAGCGATCACTTGTCTCCCAGAACGGGTTGTGTAGGGTTGGCCCGTACCGTCACCACGAACACCTGGTGGTGATGCCAGACGAGGCACAACACGATGAGGGGAGTCGCCAGGTCCACCCCAGGCTGAACCATCGCCGGAAGCTGGGGTAGCCAGGGGCGTTGAAGATTCGCTCCGGTCGCTGGGAGCCAATGTAGACGGTGGAGCCGAGGTTCGACTGCAGGGCACTAAGTTGCGCCGGTTTATTTATTTATTTATTTATTGTACATACCCTCAAGCGCCGAAGCATTGTAGAGGGGAGGGGCAAAGCAAAATAAAACAAACTGGCAAAACAATAAAAAACAAACAACAAGAAATTGAAATATCAAAAACACACAGCCATTGGCAAAAGCGGCAAGCAATATATTTTACGGAAAAAAATAAACAAAATAAAATGACTCATGTTGGCTCACCGAACAGAAATGTAGACAAAGATTGGCGAAAAAGAGAATAATCAGGTATAGTTGCGATATCTGCTGGAAGGTGGTTCCAGTCGTTTGATGTATGCGGGATAAATGAATAAAAAAAAGTGTTTGTTTGGCAACGTGTTAATCCAACTTTAGTCCGATGGTCCAGACGGGAAGAGTAATAGCTAGGCAATGTAAAGAAATGGTCTCGCAGCGACTGATGATGATACACTTTATGAAACAGGCAAAGTCGAAAAAACTTTCTGCGCAATGACAAAGAGGGTAACAATAAACTGGATTTCATTGATGATATGCTAGCTGTTCGATTATAATTAGACAGAATGAAACGAACGGCGTTATTTTGAACTAGTTCGAGAGCTTTATGCAGAAACGTGTGGTTAGGATCCCAAATAGAGGCTGCGTATTCCAATTTTGACCGTACAAGAGTGTTATAAAGAAGAAGTTTTAAGTTAACTGGGGCCGTTCTGAAGTTTCGTCGTAAGTATCCTAACATGCGGTTAGCGTTGGCGATTATTATATCAATATGAGGCTTCCAGGTTAATGTCGACGATATAGTAACACCCAGATAACGGTATGAGTTTACAGATTCAAGTTGAATGTCGGTTAGTGTATATTTTGAAGGGCGTGCGCCTTGCCGGGAAACGCGCATTAGTTTGCATTTGTTAGGGTTTAATTCCATACGCCATTTTTTGCACCAAAGAGTAATATTATTTAAATCAGATTGCAAAATGCGTACGTCATCATCATCATGAACTTCCCGATAAATTACACAGTCATCTGCATATAAATGCATGGAGGAAGAAACACAACTTGGTAAATCATTAATGAATATTAGAAAAAGAAGCGGGCCTAAAACTGAACCTTGGGGTACGCCCGATACAACATCCGTCAGGGATGAATTAACGCCATTTAGAGTTACATATTGTGAGCAGAACTGCCCCGTTGTCAGTCTCAACGACATAAGACCTTGGGCGTTGCGCCGGGCTTAAGACAGTGCCACGCAGCCTCTCAGGCTGAACCCAAACTCGAGTGCCCTGTTGAAGTCTTGGAAGAATATGGGCTCGATGACGGCTGTTGAAGTCTGCTGTCTGCTTCCTGCGGTAGTCGGAGTCTCGGGTGACAACCAGGTCTCGTCCCGGATTAAGAGGCTGTAGCTGCTCCTCCCTCTTCGGGACCCGCGTTCGAAGCTGGCGGCCCATCAGCAGCTGTGCTGGGCTGTAGCCGGTGACACCTGGTGTGTCTCTGTAACTTAGGAGCGCCAAGTACGGGTCCTTGGCCTTGCGAAAGAGGTTCTTAATGGTTCGAACCATTCGCTCCACTTCACCGTTTGACTGGGGGAAGTTTGGGCTACTGGTCACATGTGCAAAGCCGTAGGAGCTTGCGAATCCGGCGAACTCCCGCGACGAAAATGGGGGACCGTTGTCAGACCGGACAGTCTTGGAGATTCCATGACGAGCAAACATACTCTTGAGGATGTCAATGACCTTCCTTGCCGTCGTGCTTCCCAGCGTCACCACTTCCGGGTACCGGGAATAGTAGTCAACTAGGAGAATGAAGGTTTGGCCGTTCAGGTGGAAGAGGTCGACGCCGAGGACTTCCCACGGAAGACTTGGGAGACTTGTGGCACAGAGGGGTTCCGCCAGGTTGACTCGGCACGAGGCACATTGCCCACAGTTCGCCACAAGGGAAGTGATGCTGGCATTGATCTGGGGCCACCAGACTGACTCGCGGGCTCTGGACTTGCAGCGGTTGATACCCTGATGGCCTTCGTGGATCAAGGCAAGTATCGTCGGGCGCAGTGCAGCTGGAATGACGATACGGGCTCCCTTCAGCAGACCATTACAGACTGAAAGTTCTTCCAATACGGGTGCATACTTTGCAACGTGCAAAGGTAACTTTCCCTTGGATGGCCAACCGCCCTGACAGAATGAGATGAGCGTGCTGCATTCACCGTCGGATGCTTGAGCCATCTTGAGATCTTCTATGGGAACTGGAAGCACCTCAGAGGAGCCGTCCACTGTTTCAGCTGCGAAAAGCTCGATGGCATCCAGCTCTCCTGGCGCGACGAGGGCCTTGCAAGGGATTCGAGACAGTGTGTCGGCTGTGGCTAGTAGTTTTCCAGGAACGTGCAGCATTCGGAATTGATACCGCATGAGCTTCAGCCGCAACCGTTGAATCCGCGGCGGCAAGACGTCGAGCTCCATCTTTCCGAAAAGGGAGACCAATGGCAGATGATCAGTCTCGACATCGAAGGAGATGCCACGCACATACTCGTCGAACCTCAGTACAGCCCAGGTGACCGCCAAAGCCTCCTTCTCAGTTTGGCTGTAGCGCTGCTCAGTTGTTGTCAGGGATCTTGACGCAAAAGCGACAGGTCGTCTCTCTCCTGTTGGTTGAGTCTGCAGCAGCACCGCGCCTAGGCCGAAGGAGCTTGCATCCGCTGAGACCGTAGTTGGGTACGTTGGGTGGTATTTTGCCATACAACGGTCGGACGTCAGCAGCTTCTTGAGAGCATCGAAGGCGACTTCCTGTTCGTACGACCAGGTCCACTCTGTGTTATTGCTAAGCAGAGCCCTGATCGGCGCTGTCACTTGGGCCACGTGTGGAAGGAAGCGGGCCAAGTGGTTCACCATGCCGAGAAGTCGGCGTACCCCAGCGACGTCCGTTGGTGGGTCCATGTTTTGCACGGCAGACAGCTTGCCGGGATCGGGCCTTATCCCTTCCGCTGAGACGACAACTCCCAGGAATGACACTTGGGACACTCCAAAACTGCACTTCTCCCTGTTGAGGGTGACGCCGGCTTTGGAGAGACTCAACAGCACCTGCTGCAGGCGTTGGTCGTGTTCTTTCTTCGTTCTGCCGAAGACTAGGACGTCGTCGACCATGTTGACTGTTCCGTCTAGGCCCTCCAAAATCCATGCCATCTGTCACTGGAAAAACTCTGGGGCAGACGTGATGCCGAACGGGAGGCGGCAAAAGCAATAACGCCCAAACGGCGTAATAAATGTCGTAAGCTCCTGAGAGTCCTGGGAAAGCTTGACCTGATGGAAGCTTGAGGTAGCATCAAGCTTCGAGAAGACTGCTGCATCGCCCAGAAGTCCCAGGACTTGATCGACAGTGGGGAGCACATGACGTTCTCTCAGGACAACTTGATTCAGCTTGGTAAGGTCAACACAGAGGCGGTAGCCTCCCGATGACTTTGGAACCACAACCAGTCCAGCACACCAAGGTGTGGGGTTGGTGACCCGTCGAATGACTCCATCTTGTTCAAGTTTGGCCAGTTCCGTACGCACAACCTCACGCAGGGGTATCGGTATGCGGCGTGGAACACTAAGGGAAAACGGAACCGCATCTGGGCGTAAACGGATCTTGTACTCCTCCTTGAGCGTGCCGAGGCCTTTGAAAAGTCCCTGCGGCACCTGTACTTTCATGTCATCCAAAAACTTTACCACGCCCAGAGCCTGGATGGCTGGGAACCCCAGCAGGGGCACGGAGAGAGACTTGATCACGTACAGACGCTGATGAGAGGTCTTGCCTCACCACAGGAGGGTAGCCATGAAGGACCCAACGACTTTTAGCGACTGGTCTCCCGGTCCCGTCAGCAGGTCGTCGACCTTGTCCAGATGACGAGGTAAATTTGGGAAGGCTTCCGAAACAGCAGACACCTCCGCGCCGGAGTCTACCTTGAATCTCGCCGTGTAGTTGTCGACAGTGACCTCGACGTACTTGGCCTTGGCCTTCTCAGTCTCGAGGATTGCATGGAGCTGTAAGGCCGCCACCTTGCTCTGCTTTCGTTTGCGAGCGCGACAGACGTCCGCGAAGTGGCCCTTCTTTTTGCAGTAGTTGCACAGAGACTGCCCAGCAGGACAGTCGGAGCGTGCGTGGGGGCCTCGACCGCAGTAACTGCAGGAACCCGAGTCGATATCGTCACGTGAAGGCACGGCTGAAACGTCGTCTGACCGTTTCGTTGTCTTGCGTTGGTGCGTCGGACCCCGACGAGAGTTCGCAGCGTCGACGTTGACGGTAAGCTGGCCTGACTCACTCCCACGAGCAGTCTTTTCTTTCTCGGCGTCTTCGGCCTGCCTCGCCTGTGTCCACGCGTCCTTGAGGCTGAGCTTCGCGTTCCGACAGAGTTGGTCGGATAGGCGTCCGTCGCAAAGACCGACAACGAACCGGTCGCGAACCAGGCGTTCTTCGACATCGGGGGACGGGTAGTTGCACCGTTTGACAAGCTTGCAGAGCTCGGCGTAGTAACTGTCGACGCTCTCTCCCGGCTGCTGAACCCGCTTGTGGAACCTCGAAGACTCATACACCTCGTTGAGGGGGTGCACAAAGTGTTCCGAGAAGCGCTTGACCACCGTGTCATAGTCGTTCAGGGAGGTGGCGTTCAAGCCGAACGTGTCGAGAAGGACCCGAGCGTCGGGGCCCATACAGTAGAGAAGTGTCCGCACCTGAACGTCCGGCGGTGCTTGGCGAAGTCCGGAGGCATAAGCGTAGTCCTCGAATTGCGTAAGCCACGCCGGCCAAGAACCGGTGTTGTCGAAGTTGAAAGCAGCGGGTTGACGTAGGGAGACGCCCGCCCACGTTGGAGGTTCTTGCGAGTTCGCCATGACGGAGGGACGTAGGCCTAATGCGCTGCCATGAGGACTGAAGGAACGTAGGCCTAGTGGACTGCTTCTGACACCATGTCGTGCCGGGCTGTGGCCGGCGGTCAGACTGCACGGCCCACCAGCGACGGCAAGCAAGCAACTGAGCGTACAGACAGTCGAAAGCCGGGAACCAAAAAGCATGTTTATCTCATGAGGCCATGGCTTTTTACAGAAGACGCGGGCACAATGTTCGCAACCCAATTACCGAAAGTGTCCGAACTTGACACTAGCGTCGCCCACAACATAACGAATATTGGGAAGCACGCAATGTCCTTTTTACTGGATATGTATAACCAATGATGGGCTAGTGGTTGTATACCCCTTGTCTGGAAAGAAGCAATTTTAGTGCCTGTTTTAAAACCTGGAAAATCCCCTCTAAGCATCTCATCTTTTCGTCCAGTGAGCCTCACTAGCGTGCTGATGAAGACGATGGAACATATGGTCTTACAGCGACTAAATTGGTGGTTAGATTCCAGTGGAATATTGCCGTTCCAAATGACCGGTTTTAGGCGGAATATGTCAGCTATGGATTCTGTACTCGATCTCGTGACCTATGTAGAACACGAACGCAGCATTCACAAAATCACAGTAGCAGTGTTTCTAGACATTACGCGGGCATTTGACACTGTTAGCCACTGCCATGTTATCGAACAGCTTCAGCGACTAGAAGTAGGTGACCACCTAGTGAACTGGATGAGTGATTTCCTCCATGATCGATCGGTGTACGCACGGACGCCCAACGGTTTTACATCAAAGCACTATGTTTCACAAGGAGTTCCTCAAGGAAGCGTATTAAGTCCCACATTATTTAACCTTGTATTGACAGATCTTCCTGGTCTATTACCAGATAATGTATCAATTTCCATGTATGCTGATGACATATCTATTTGGTCATCAGATGCTAATCCCAGTGCAATTCAGACTCGTCTCCAGACTTCACTTTTAATAATTGAACAATTTCTCATTGAACGAGGTATGTCGATCTCTACTGAGAAATCTGCGGTCCTTCCATTTACACGACGAAGACTCAATAACCTTGAACTCACGCTTGGAGGGAAACCTTTGCCTTTGGTGAAGGCTCATCGTTTCCTAGGGGTGTACATAGACCGAAACCTGTCTTGGACAGCTCATGTAAAATATTTAGAAAGAAAGATAGCGCCATACATCAATATCTTACGCTGCTGCTCTGGAACCAGATGGGGTGGCTCTTCGAAAGCACTTTTAACTCTCCATGGAGCACTCGTTACACAGTCCCTTTCGTATTTACTTCCAGCATTAAGTGGACTCTCCGGGACTCTTGAAACGCGACTCAAACATCTGATAACCCGCAGCCTCCGAATCTGCTTGGGAGTACCAAGAGCCGCAGCAAGCTCCTTGGTGGTTGCAGAAGCTCACGTCCTCACACTTCCGATTCTACGTGAACGGGAAACTCTCCATTTCATTCGCCTTCTTACGCGTCATCATGATCACCCACTCGTTGCAACTATCCACCGTATGGGACATTTTCCAGTGTACATAAGGTAATAATGGCTATTGCAGATATAATTCCCGCAAACTTCGCACTCCCATATGAACCTCCAGCTGCGCTTTGGACATTTTACTCTGCAAATATTTCTACATCAGTACCTGGAGTTGTGAAAAAATCGACTTTAAACCAAACCACGTTGAAGCAAATGACACTTTCAATGCTTTCTGAAGCCCCAGATGACGTTACTGCGGTCTACACGGATGGGTCAACAAGTGATTTATCATCTACAGCAGCGTTTATAATTCCCTCTTTAAATATAGAAAAAAGCTTCTTACTTTCACACAAGACAAGCTCAACTAACACAGAACTATTTGCTATTTTGCAAGCGGTTCTCTACTTTACTCAGAAAACAAGTATTACCAGTTGGACTCTATACACGGATTCAATGAGCGCACTGAACATGATAAAATACATATCACCAACAAGTTCATCTATTGCCATTAATATTTGTTTCCACCTTTCGAGAGCTATTGAAACTGGACATAAAATTAGTTTTTAATGGATCCCTGCACATTGTGGCATTCAAGGAAATGAAGCGGCCGATCGGGCAGCCAAAAATGCCCACAATATAAATACCAAGACTGCAATTACTTTCACGAAAGGAGACACATTAAACCTGCTCAGAAGGACATCAAGGCAAAGATCCGAGGATACTTGTTATAAAGACGCTCCTCAGAACTCCCACCTCGAACGGATTGACCCTAACTTAATATTTTGGATGCCAAGACACATTTCAAGAGCTTCTGAAACATAGATACACAGACTTCGATTAGGTGTTCCTTTTGGACAACATTTCCTACATCGAATACGACAAGTTACCTCCCCTTTGTGCACCACATGTGACGAAATAGACGACGCAGAACACGTACTAATCAACTGCCGAAGGTACACACATGAACGAGACCATCTTCGAGAACAAATGTCTACTATCGATAACCGCCCATTGTCCCTCACAACACTCCTTGGTCCATGGAACACACGAAAGATCCAACAAACTGTGATCGGGTATCTTGTAGATTATCTGGAGGACACAAAATTAAGTGAGAACTATTGACAACAACAAATCTCATTTAGTGTACTGCGGCCTATTTTTGCTGTGCTGCGGCCTATTTTTGAAAGGGACAGGACACCGTTCTGGAGGCTGCCGGTCCGAGGACCAGGTGGATACCTCCTCATAGTGAGGACGGTTGCTTAGTCCAAGGACGGTGCCTCCCACCAGAGAGGGTCGGACGTACTGTGACGTCGGGGTTTGGATATTGTAAATATGTAAATGATTATTTTATTGCATATATATATGTATGTACATAATCTTTTTCTCTTTTTTTTGTCAAATTTATATGCTGCTTATAATTTCAATCAATGGTCTGGAGTAGCCGGCGCTGGTCCTGCAGCTGCTAAAATCTCCACTTTGAACGTTTTGCTTTTAATAAAGATCTATTCTCTCACCCCCTCAACTCGCAGCCAGAACAAGGGGCCACGTGATCTGGAGCCGATTATATGCCGCCAATGTTGATCATAGCAATCCGCTCAGGTTGGCAAGGCACAGGACTCGCGCTGAGTTCCAGACATTGTTATGGTTCGGCTGTTGTCGTCATTGCAGCGATGGGACACAGGACACTACCCGAATGCTCTCGAGCTATCGATTAGCACGAGCCCAAATCGAGTGCCACGCTATGCTCGGGTCCAATCAATGAGCCGCATTAAAATATTGTCACTGGGCGGCAGTGCTACCGCCCAGCTACGTCATTAGGCTTTGCGAAGGAGAGATTAAATGAAAACACTAGGGGGGCTAAGCTCGGCGCGGCGAGATCGAGGCGAGTTCTCCGCCAAACTCGCCGACCGCCGCAATTGGTCGGCGCCGTGCATGACGACACGCGCAGACACTCCCTAGATCGTGACGTTAAACGGAGGCTTTGAGGCAGTCGGAGAGTTGCATATTCGGAACTCGCGGCGAGATGCGGTGACGTCATTGTGACGTGGCAGAAGCCGCCGCGGATAGGAAAAGCTTGCCGGCTCCGAGCTAGGCGAGTTTGGGCGAGTTGGGCGCGAGATCAGGGAGAAGCGTCCAAAATGGCAGCGTTTTCGTTCGTGTTTTGCAGTCGGCATAGGTATTTAAACCACGCCAATGTGTTTGACATGGACGACGTTCATTTTCAACAACACTATCGCCTCTCGAAAGACGTGGTAAGGTGGCTGTGCGATGAACTGCGTGGCGAACCGGGCTTGAGGCGATGGAGCCGTGAATGAACCGTCGCCCCCGTCGTGAATCCTACATCCAAATTCTACAAAATGAATCCTAGAAACAAATGTGTTTTTACGGCAATCTGCAACCAGGAACGCAATTTACCATTACCTACAGGCTTTTACAATTATTTTGATGGGTTGCTGTGCCGAGTAGATGCAAGATAAACGCACTTGATAAAATTCAAACTAAAACAGATGATAGAAGAAAAGCAATATACATGAATGGCGCAGACTAACAACTGTGTAATTTCTTTCTCATCTTTCTTCTTCCACACCGTATTTTGACAAACAAATTGGCCGTTAGTTGTTTATACAGCGGGAGAACATGCCAGAACATTGCGACATTGTCACCTACTGTAGATAAGCAATTTAGCCAGTGCAGTATGACTGCTAGCCTGGGGTCTTTAACGTGCACCACGTAGTAGTGATACACGACCGCATGCCGGTACGATGCTCATCAACATCGAAAAGGGCAGGGCTGGGGGTGAATCCACGATCCTGGGTTCAGCAGCGCGAGCTTTCGCTCCACGCGCACCCTATTCTGAAAAAAAAAAAAATATATATATATATATTGTGGCTGTGTGGCGGTGTGGGGGAGAAAGATGAAAAAGAAATTACACAGTTGTTAGTCTGCGCCATTCCTGTATGTTGTTTTTCGTCTATACTCTGCTTTAGTTTTTATCTTTATCAAGAGCGTTTTTCTCGCATCTACGTGGCGCAGCAAACCATCACAATGTCTAGTCAACTAGCCCACATCCAAGCAATGTTTATATAATTAGCATCCCTGCTGTTACCTATTCTTATTTGTCATTTACGATTTAAATAAAAAACAAATTGGGCTGTATGTATGTTGATACTGCCTAAAACTTGGTCTGCCTCAGCGGGGAAGATGCTCCCAGCTGTAGATGAGAAATTTAGCCATGCAGTGCCGTACAACCGCTAGCGTGGGGTCTTTAACGTCCATCCCGCAGTAGTGTTACACGACTGCACGCCGGTACGATGCTCATCAACATCGAAACGGGCAGGGGTGGGGATTGAACCCAGCATCCTGGGTTCTGCAACGGACCTTTGGCTCGACGTGCTCCGAGCTGGTGTGCGCTAGCCCAGCCGGCAACCGATCCCCCGATTAAAATAAAATAAAAAACCTTCAGTGCGGAGCGTAGGGAAAAATCGGAGCTACGCTGGGGAACTCGCCGCCGCCGGGGGGGTCGGAAATGTAAGAGGGGGAGTGGGAAACTCGCCGGGGCGGAGTCAAAAGAAGGCCCTCCCCTCCCTCGTGACGTGGCATCGGAGAGATGCCCGCCGGAGGCGAGCTTAGCCCCCTAGGTCTGTCCTCGAAATTGCACGGCAACAAAGGAGTTTCTTGGCCAGTGGCGTTGCGTGCGAGTATCCTTGAGTCCCACTAGTGCCAGTAAGCTCGTGTAAAGCGAAAAACATTCCATTTGAATATCGTTGCACCGCCCTTTTAAGTTTTGTCTTACGCACATTTTTGGCGTAAGATCGTTTCGTGAATCTGGCCTCCGCAGTTCCGAAAGTCGCAGGGAAGGTTAGACAGACGCAGACGACGTTGCGAGCAGACGACGTTGCAAAGGAGCAGACGACGCTCAGATAGGGGGTCGCGATCAGTCAATCGGGGTTCGGCGTTCTGACGTCACCGCTACCCCCTGCGCAAGGAGCAGACGAACTTGCCCTCGCAACCCAGCGCAGCGCGCTTACGTTTCCTGCTTGCAGCACCAATGCGGCAAAGAGCGTAATAATCGAAAAAAAAAAAAGAATCAAAACACGTAAAACATATGCGCTTAGCAAGTACTTTTTTGTTTACAAATAATAGTTAAT